TTCGACAAAGGTATATTTTAATATTATATTCCAGATGTAAACTTTTTGTAACTATCAGGCTCTATATTCGAAGCTACAATCATCATTTAATATGTTTTTAACATGAGTACGCAGCAATTATAAAATTCATATGACTTGAGGTTGTAGCTTGAATGTAACTTTAATACTCAGTGTCTAGAGTTGAAAACGAGCAGTTATATTGATAGACATGAGTACTGTATAGTAAATCTAAAAATTGTCAAACTTATATAACTTTAAGATTGTAGTATTAGTGTATTTTAATATTAAATGTCAAGAATCAAACAGGATGAGTTATAGTAAATGGAATAAATTGAGTTATTAAATTCATATAACTTGAAGTTTGCGCTATTAATGAAATTTTAATTCCGGTACTAAATGCCCAGAATTAAACATGATCAGTTATATTAAATAAGATTAATCGAGTAATTAATTAGGCTTATATCTTTGGTTCTAATCTTCCTTTTCATCTACTCTTTGTAATGGAAAATCTTTTTCTCCTTCCACGATCTAGATTCCATTAGCTGTTCTCTATGTAAACAGGGATATCGAATCAACTTAAATAGTACAGGTTGTAATAAATTACCTGTTACTTATATCAGCTTATCCGATGGTAATACTATCGCCATTATTTTTACATTCTGTAGCTTGTTAGGGTGTTTAGTAACTCTAGCTTTTATATCATTATTTATACGCTATCGCAATAATGGCACTATTAAAGCAAGTAGTATCGAATTAAGTATTTTACTATTAGTATTTATTATGATTTCATTTAGTTTACCAATTTTATTCTGTTTAAAACCAACTGATGCATTATGCCGTGTAAGATCATTTTTATCTTTTAATACATTTACACCTCTATTAGCGTTACTATTAGCTAAAACCCATCGAATTGTACGACTATTCCATGCTCGATTATCGACATTAATGGATAGAAAATGTCTAAGCAACGCTTATATTTTACTACAAGGAGCGATAATCAGCGCTGTACCATTAGCTTTATCCATTATTACTTTGGCTTTGTATCCATCTAAAGCTGCTTACGTTTACGACGATTATTTAGTCGTTTCTCTAGAATGTCAAGGATCCAAATCTCCTGTTGCTGCTATATTTCAATATATTATGTATGCCTATTTTGGCATCTTGGCACTTTATTGTGCCTACTTAGCTTATCGACAACGGCGTTTACCTGCACGATTTAATGAGGCTCGTCAAATTGCATTTCCTATGTGTGCCATTTGTCTGACAAGTGTTGCAACTATCATTACAGACTTTAGTACATCTGGTGAAGCTAAAGTGATTGTCTATTCCATGGTCATTATTGTTAATTGTGCAGTCATTCTAGTATTCCTATTTGTACCTAAAATTCATTCATTACGCCAAAATATTAATAAGGATAACGTCCATGGCAATGGACTAGGCAGTCGATTGCGTGATATTATGTCCCTTGGTTTTACCATTGGCTTTATATCCACAAAAAATCGATCATCGACTAACGATGATATCAATGTTGCAAATACAATTGCTCCTGAAGGTGAAACTTTTACGACAGATGTAATTCGCGAATCGGAAATTGGGCCAGCTTCTTTAGAAAATGAATCGTAGTGTCTCAAAGCTAGTTGAAGTAGATCAGTTATTCATGCATTAATAACGATCGAAATAGAATTTAAGACTATCGATTATTCTCACTATTAGAAGTTAGCAATTTTTATCAGGATATACGATATTTAGTCAATAATCTTGGTCGACGATTTTATTAGAATAAAAAAATTTTTCTTTATTATTATTAAACTTTCAAAAAATATAATTTTATTCCAACTTTAATCTCCCAACAGTCAAGAATAGATCGTTTAATTACAAAGCCAACATTGATATCTCAATCTATTTGTATTATTTTGTCTTTGTATTATAGCTTAAGAACTAATATAAGATTTCCTATAAATTTCGAAATCAATTCAGACAGTAAATTATATTTAAAAATCTATTTTTGAAAGCTAGAGTATTAATTGGTAATTGAAATTTGGTTATAAGACTCTCATCTAAGCAAGTTATTTATTGAGGCAAAAGAAATCGACAGTGTAGTATTTTCAATGATACTTTAAAGCATGCTAGTCGATTGTTTAAAATTCTTTATGCATAAGTCTTGAGCGATTAGAGTAGAGGTAATAATTAGCCGATCTAAAAGGCTTTATTAGCTTAACCAAAGCTTACTTTAAAATATTATCGCCTATTTTATCTTGTTTCCCTTCTAAGTCTAGAGATACTGTTGTAGAATAACCGAATAATGTAAAAAAACTAAGCATGGGATAATTTTAGATAGTAGCATATTCATGATCCTGGATTTAATCGTCGATTTCATTTATGACATATCTAATTGGTAAGTTTAGCTCACTAAGCTAATAGAGATCTATTCTTCGTTTCCGTCCACTACCAAGCTAAATATGCGATATCATTGTCTTGAATTTAAGTGTTTGGCAGATTTTTCCAGCAAGTCTTATTATTTACTTACAGCGAAATGCATTTAAATGTCTACAGTACATTATCGATAGTTTCAATTTAAGTACATCGTAATATTTGTATGTGATCGAGTAGATTTTAACATTATAGAATGCTCATATGATGAATTGAAATTATAATTTTGAGTTTCATTGCGGACAATATCCTAGATTTTTTATTCAAAGCATAGGAACAAATATTCATGAGCTATATTCATTAGTTTTATTCTCAAATTTATACCATGTTAGTTAAGTTATAACTCTAGATATTTGAGGCTACCAATTTAGAAATAGTCCTGATATCATCAAGAGGGTACTAATAAGCTGTTTCATAGACGAAAAATAATATGAATATATTATTATTTCTCTTAGAATAAATAACCTCTCTGTGATGTTTTGTATACAGTAATAAACGTATATTACTTAATGACTATAAATAATGTCGTTTCAAGGAAAAGAAAACTATAGAGTTCATGGGAAAGATCTTACTGTTAGAATTACAAAGGTAACTATTGTGATGTTATCATAATCAAATTATTATCTCCCTCCTTTTACACCTATTCCATTTTTAATTAGAATTGTATTGATATAAATTCAACTATTTCAAATTGGAATGTTTTCACAATGATTATTTGTCTATCAAAGCCTTCCTTTATTGTTCTGTTACAAACTAAATTAATGCGTAGTTTATTAATTAATATCAGCGACGTTACTGAGTATCTCTCTATATGTATTACGCTAAAATTATCATTTTTGCAAGCATCATCCTTCCAAATAATACGCCTTTGTTGACATACAGTTGCCATCCTGTATTTATTGACTGTTAAGATGGTAGGAGAACTATTAATATAGAGATATCAGTTGATATTCTGCGCATGAAAGTGGATAATTAATTATTATTTATGCCTTCAGGGGTACAGGATGAGATAGAGTAGAACAATTTCAACGCTAATTGCTTAATTCAATGTATGTTAGATCGCTATAAAAGTAATTTTGTAAAGCTTTTGTGAATAATAAGTTTAAGTGCATTAATGCTCATCGTGTGACAAGATGATTGAATGTTTATCGAATATGCTAAATAATTTTTAATAAAAGTACCATAGGACCGCGACTACTAAGGGCGTACGGTACTTTTGATACCATTCTCGGATATCTCGAATAGTTAAATAATTATCTAAATCGTAAATTTTCTATATATAGTCATGTAAATGCCGTAAAACAATTTCTAGTTCTACAATAGTTTTCTACTAATTAAGTTTACCTATGTCCAATAAGTTTAAGTGTATTAATGCTCATCGTGTGGCAAGATGATTGAATGTTTATTGAATATGTTAAATAGTTTTAATAAAAATGCCGTTGGATTGAGACTAAGGGCATAAAATACTTTTGGTAACATTCTCAGATATTTCGAATAGTTAAATACTTATCTCAATAGAAAAAATTCTGTACAGTATACAGTCATATAAGTACCGTAAGAAAATTTCTAGTTCTACAATAGTTTTCTATTACCTAAGTTCCCATATGCCTCAGTAAATGGACGAGATCAACATCTTTCAAGCCAAAACTAACTTCGACTGATTAATGATTGATCTTCATGCATCTGACAGTGAGTCCATACATTTTTTTCTTCAGGGATTGTTTATGACATATATAAACAAAATATGCGAGATTGATGTTAATATAATATTAACCTACCATACAATAATCAATCAGAAAATTTTAACTATGATTTAAAATAACAACCGAATTTTCATACTTTATTAAGCTTTTCAATCTACCAATCTCTCAAGTTATCTTAATATGTTTGTAAGAATCATTTTTCACTAGACTGCAACTATCAATTGATAATACACCAACATTGCCTTACATTTATCTACCGTTGATAAGAGGAAATACAAGGATAGCAAGTTGAAGAATAGCCTGTTATTTATAATGTGTTAATTAAGTCGGACACTGATTAATTATAATACCGTGATAGCGTTACAAAAGATAGTGAATAAGGCATAAAAACAATACTTTAGGTCAATAATTCATTTACTTAACAATGCAATATTAATAAGATGTTTATAGCTAGTTCACGGTCATTACGAAGGATGGGATCGATGTTTAGCGATAGACATAGTTTAGGCATAGTCAACCAAAATACTTCTTTATTTCAACGGATTAGAATTTCCCCTCTAGACAAACAGTGGATTTTTGTTGATTGAAAAAAAGTGATAGGCTCTATTTATGAGTCATGTTCTCGTCGTCAATAGAGGAATCTTTTGACACATGGACTACATTGTGGCAATGTTAAAGATGAATTTGATGTAGAGTATCGATTGCTAAATAACACTCAGAAAATAGTGATACGAATCATTATAAGCAATGAATCATAGATGAAAAAATTGCAGTTAAATTGTTCAGATAGGTAGAACTCCTTTTACGAATATTAAAGTTTTCTTCCAAGAAATAATTCTTAACAACATCGTTATGTGGAGTAGTAAACGAATTCATAGGCTATCATGGCTCTCAACATGTATTATCCTAGTTATTGGGATAGTATCAACTACAAATGCGGCAATTGGTAGAATGGTTAAAGATGGCGATGTTATTATCGGCGGCCTATTTCCTGTCCATATTGAAAATCAGCTTTCGCATACGTTATGTAATGAAACAACCGAAAAAGGCGCAATATGGGTAAAAGCAATGATGTATGCTATTGATAGTATTAATAATAATACAGAGTTATTGCCTACTGTTACATTAGGCTACGATATTCGTGATACATGCCATAATTTACAGCGTGCTATTAAAGCTTCGATGGACTATGTTGTTGATCCGGATTTAGACATTTCGGTTGCATCGTACTTAAATAGTTCTGATGGCACGCTCGTGATGAGAAATGATTTCGATATTTTTAGTAGTGTCAATAAAATTAAGCTATCACAAGTCGCTGCTGTTGTCGGTGCATCAAGTTCACATATTTCTATGGCGGTAGTTGATATATTGCGCGTATACTGTTTACCAGTCATAAGTTATTCATCCACTAGTCGATTATTGAGTAATAAAATACGTTATAGTTCGTTTTTAAGGACAGTACCATCGGATGTTCAACAAGCTCGGGCTATCGCTCAATTAATTCGCTACTTTAATTGGACTTATGTGTCGACCATTGCTGTTGATACAGCTTATGGCCGCCAGGGTATACAATTATTTCATGAAGCAGCTGCTGCCTTAGGCATTTGTACATCACCAGTGAGCGAAATATTTTCAGCGTCTAATCCAAAATCCGAATTACCACGAATTATCCAAAAATTGAAGCAGCAAAGTAATGCAACTGTAATCGTTTTTTATAGCGATGAATATAACGCCATGTTATTACTCAATGAAGCTGATAAACAAAATTTAGTTGGACGAACGTGGATTGCAAGCGAGTCATGGGGTGATTCTAGTTATATTACAAGAATGCCACCGGGTGTTATTGGCGGTATGCTAGGGGTAGTACCTCAAACTACTAGTATGGACTATTTTAAAAATTATCTTAAACAATTCGCACCGCCTAATCCGATCGCAGATCCGTGGTTTTATCAGTACCTTTACGATCGATATAACACTAAAATTGAATCTAATGGCGATAAACTAAATCGTAACGAATTGATCAAGTTTGAAGTTGATGATTTACCGATGGGTAAATCACAAAACGTTATCAACGCAGTCTATGCAATTGCACATGGATTAGATAAATTATTACGGCATGATGGCAATCAACATTTACAACAACCAATTGATCCAAGTCGATTATTGGCTTTTATTAATAATCAAACATTTATAGATCAAGCTAAAAATGTTGTTCAATTTGATGATCATGGTGATCCAGTGCCTAACTTTGTCGTTGTTAATTTACAACCTGATCGTCAGCCATTTGGTCGTATGAAATATAAAATTGTTGGTCACTGGCAATTAGTTAATAATAAATCTTCAGAGATGGAATTAGTGATGAAAGATGATGATATTATTTGGAATGGATGGACACATAATCTACCGATATCGACTTGTAGCGAACAATGTAGTCCTGGTCAAGAAGTTGTATATTTAACTTGGAAATCAAGTTGTTGTTGGCGATGCCGAAGATGTTCAACTGGTTTTATTAGTAATACAACAGATGCAACAAGTTGCCAGAAATGCCAATTAGGTTTTAAAACAAATCTAAATCGAACAAAGTGTTTGCAATTGCCTATTGAATTCCTTAATTGGAATAATGCCGTTGCCATAACTATCATCACACTTGCTAATGTTGGGATAGCTATTAATTTTTTATTTCTTGGTATTTTAATTTGGAATCGAAATCATAAAGTGATTCAAGCTACTAGTAAAGGCTATCTTTTCGTTGTGTGGATTCTGGTTAACGCTGGTTTTTTGCTATGCTACTTATACATTGGTGAACCGACTGATGTTCTTTGCACTATTCAACCCATCTATTTTGGACTCAACTATACCATTGTTTTATTAGTTATTACGTTGAGAGAGATGACATTAATGTTTAAAGGTTATCAAGAAGAAAAAATTGCTAGTACTTACCTTATTCGGTACTTTCAGTCATGGGGATTTCGTTATTTTTTCTCATTTGCAATATTATGTGGCCAAGTCACTATCTTAGGCATTTGGATGTTTACGTCCCCTCAAACGTCTGTGAAAAATTATAAACATTCTGATCGCATCTTATCTGGATGTTCACGTGAATTTGATTCTTCTTTTCCAGCAACCACAAGTATCGTCTACGTTATTATGATATGTTTATTCACCACTTATATCAGTTTTAAAGTACGCCACTTACCATATTGTAATTATGAGGGCAAATACATTAACTTTTGCTTACTATGTATTTTATTAGGCTGGATCGCCTTTATACCGTCTTATTTAGCTACTGCGGGTATTGGCCACGTTAGTTTAATCTGTTTTTCAGTTATTATTAATTCGAATTGTGTGCAATGGTTTATAATATATCCTTCAGTTTATCAGATTGTTATTAGGCCTCATTTCGAGACATACCATAGGTCATGGTCTTTTAGTAAATTAAGTCGACGTAATTAAGATATTCTCATTCAACGTATATTACTAATTTCTTCTGTTTATGAACTACCATTTAATATTAATATAGCGCTTATGTCATGTATTTATTCTTAATTTCTTAGTTTGTTTTTTTCAATTGGAAGGGGCTAATGTGTAAAGTAGATAGTGTACTGTATATATAAATATTTGTCATGGGTACTGCTGCCAATATTTAAAATGTAGCGGTATATGAAATATGTATAAATGCTGGATATTACATTACATGGGTAAAAGTAATACTTCACGTAATGTAAGTATATTCGAGATGTTAGTTTTTCTAAAGGCAATAACTAATAAGTATGACATTGCTAATTTATTAATATATTATCAATTTAAAGGAGTTTTGCTGGATAATTTTTTAATTTAATTACAATTATATTTAAGTTTATGTAACAAAATACTTGTACATCGGTGAATTATTTAATTACATAGCTGTAAATTGATTGCTAGATATGGTTAAAAGAATTAATTTCTGTTGATTTTGCTTATCAATACAGCTAATTTCATTTAAGTTTGACTAGCGCTTTACGTATAGCCGTAACGGAGATGAAAATAACGTTCTGCTAATCTGTAATAATTTTCAAACTCCGAAAGTGAAATTGTGCGTTTCTTTGTAGGCATATAAAAATATACGGTAAAAACTTATGCCCAGTAAATCATATATATAGATTAAAATTATCTTTAATAATAAAATAATAAATATACGAAATCTTGAGTGTTATTATTCTAAAATCCTGCGGGTAAAAATGAACATCGTTGAGATCTTCTGCAACTATCAATAGCCCCTTTACGTACGCTTACAGAAAATGTGGAAAGTGGAATTGGGTGTCATTTTAATTTCTCATATTTATTAATTTTAGCTAGCCATCATTATACTGTCCATTCGAATACTTGATGACATTAAGTTAAACTTAATATTATTTTAATTTACACATTAGAACAGTATCGTAGTGTCAAGCTTGAATACTTAAGATTAGTCACTGTATATTATTTTCAGGACACTTAAAGTTAATTGATCATGCAAATCATTATGGTCGTAGACCAAAGATTTATCTTTCTAAGGGTATGCATGCATTGTAGGGTTAGGATCATTGCTATCTTCAAGACAACTTAGACTTTATTTACAGTAGAGGTATAAATACTAATAAGAGCTCATTCGCCGCAGTTCGGTTATGGCTACAGAAATTAATAAAATTGACAATAAGCTTATTAGCCTTTGATGGAGATACACTGTAGCACCGTTGCATTTGTATTCAAATAAAGTACGATATTATATCCAGAAATGATATAAGAAAAATGAGAATCTTGGCTTTCTTTATGATTTTAGTAATGCGACAAATACAGCATACTCATGGTTCCGCTTATAATCGTTTTATTTATTACAGTATACAGTTACACGTGTGCAAATTTAAGTTTTGAATAATGAACAACGATTTCGCATTGAGATGGCATTATTATTTACAACGTGCTATTTTAAAATATATTAATTGAACTTTTAGATCACTTTACACTACATGTAGTGTTGTGTTAAATCGAAAGAAAGCAAAATTTAAGCCTCTTCACCAACGACATGCTTTTTTCTTTCAGGGACACGTTCGACTTTATCTGGCTTGGTGTACCGCAACCTGTTCTCCTCCCTAAAGAGCAACCAAAAAAACAGTTTAGCACCCAACATACAGTAAATACTGGTAGATATAGCATTACAGTTAACATCGCTATAGCTGTTTTCCAAACTACTATATAATAGTAAGATATCGTACTTTCTCTTTTGAGAATCGAGTATGACTCTTTTTTCGGCTGCTGCTCTATGAATCGGTTTCGGAACGTGACGATGCCTAATGTGAAGTTAATAGATATATAATTTTGGTCACTGCCATTTGAATCTAGCTTACAGTTTGGATGAATGTTTCAGTAAAAAGTTATATTTATACCTTAGGATTCGTTTTACTTGAGGATGATTTTCGAATTTTTTCTTCAGTTTTTTATTATAATTATTACTGGCCTTCTGCCTTGCGGTGAGCTAAAGAATACCAAGAAAAACATATTATTGCTATCAATTTTTTACAACGACTGGGGATGAAAATAAAATAAGTAATTGACTTTATACGTACAGCTCCGAGTCTAGCTGAGGAATCCGCTTTCCATAATCTGCAAGAACCAAGGTACATCGATTACATGACAACATATTTCTTTAAATTTCTTGCAATTATTTTACCTTAAGTTTGTTTCATCACTCCCAGAGACAATAAAATTATTATCCATACTCCATTTCACACAGAATACCCTTTGCATACGTCTAGTATGATATACTTCCCTGAATATTATAAATTTGTAGTAAAATACATTTAAGATGCGAATCAATTTTCATAGACTCAAACTTCATATACGAAATTTCGCTATTAAGCAAAGCGAAAGTATCCAAAGACGGTAATAAATAGTGAACTTACCGACTTTTTCCTTTGTTAACAGGGAAAATGCGAACAGTTTTATCAAAACTACCAGACACAAATTCTTGTCCAGTCGGAGAATAGTCAACGTCCAAAACTGCAGAAACGTGATCAACATGGACACATAATGCTGAATCCAAACGACGCATATCGAAAGTATACAAGCTATAAGGAGTTGATGATATATTTATTACTATATGATCACGCCATCAAATGGTATAAAAATTTCTTTAAGTAACTGCCTATCGTAAATATTTAGTTAGATCGAAATTTAAGCCTTAACTCGATTACTTACTTGCCATCTTCATTAGCAGCAGTGAAATGGTATGCCTATGATAAATTATATTAAAAGTGCAAATAAAAACTTAGATAACACGTAATAGTACATACAGTCGATATGCAATGGAAAATACACTTTATCAGCAACCTCTAAAGGATTCCATGCAACTGTATTTGTCTTCATTTCGAGAATAACCTAGTTACACGATCAATTGGCGTTAATAAGCGTTCACTAGAGTAATAATGAAAGCTGTAAAATTTATTTTGGTATGCGAATATCAATATATACCTTTCTCATAGGTGTTGAAGCTCGTACATCGTATAAAGCAATCGATCGATCGGAGCCCGTACATGCTAATACGTTAGTCTATTCATAAAAGTTGAATAGCATATAAAAACTGATTGGCTTTATTTCAAGTTATTAATGATGGTTTCATTATTCTGAAATTAGTCATAAATATCAACCTTATTGAATATAATAAGTACCTCAATGGGATTAAATCGGACACCGATGTGACTTTCGATGCCCCACGTAAAAGATCGAATAGGCTCGGTTTTTTCTTCATCCCAAATTTCAACTACTTGACCGCATGTAGCGAATATATCACTCTTCCAGCTATGGTCAATAGCGTTGAATATATTCTGAATACAAAAGTAATTCGTTAGGTTAACATCATGCAATGAAAATGCTCGCAAAGGAAGCAACGCTAAAAGGCATACTGCAGAAGCAGATTGAATAGATAGAAAGAAAGTGTATTGGGTAGGGTAATTGTTGACGAAATATTGCAGATAAACATGTTATTATAATGTCATTAGAATTAAAGTTGGTACGAAGCTACGAATTGAGTCACCCTACTTTACTCAATATTGTCATATCCGGTTCCTTTAAAGAGTTCTTAGTAGCTAAATCTAGCGACCAAATTTTAATTGACTTATCATCTCCACCCTACAGCAAGATATGGAAATTAATACAAGTGTAAATTGTGCATACGTATGCGTAGTTTAGCGATATAAAAAGAGAATTAATATCTATGCAACATATCTACTGTAATTGACTTGTCGGTTTATCACTATATTTATCTTAGTTGACAACAACATTCATATAGTACGTATGTGGTAATATTATTAAGTACTGTAGGTTATTTATTGATTGAGCGGTATATCAATTATTATCAAGGACTGAACTGTGACGCATATAAAATACGAGTGGCACTGATCTGTTGATATTGCACTAGGCGAGTCTACCTCCAAATTACGTTACTGTTGTTGGTGGTAGACAATGTTATTTCTTAATCAATTCAAGTTATTATGGGCTGTCCAACCTACCGAAATTAGCTTTTGACTTGTAGGAGATATACATAGGCCTCGGACAAAACCACTGTATGATACAATCAAAGATCAAGTAGAATCTATTATTACTATTGTGTTTAATCATCAGTAAATAAGAGACGATGAACTACCATTACTATCATAATACAGCATTTATGCAATAACTACAGCAACAAGAAAATATGTCTACTGAAATCACTGTGCTATATTCTGTACAGCACTGTCTAAATGATAATCCATCGCTATGCAACCTGTGGGCGTTGACAGCCGATAAGCATTTTCTTGTCGATAAGTTCCATATCCTAATCTATAAAAGACAGAACAGCCATTAGCCACTAGCCTTGATAGATCTATCTTCAGATCATTCAAATCGCTCTAGCGATAGCGTGTCAATTTGTTGTAGTAATTAAAATGGTAGTCACAAAGTACGTCTTGGAACCCATGACTTCATTCGGTTGTATAGTACAGTACAATAGTCATGTCCATCTTAGAAGAGAGTGGATGGTCACCCATCTTAATGTTATCGCTATTTAATGAGTTTTAACAGTGTCTCCATCTAGATTATGTATCGAAGGAATGAACATACTTCACCATCACAGCAGCCACTCGCAATACAAGACAGGCTAACGGGATGCTTTGCTAGTGAGCAAATAGCATCAGCATGTCCATCCAGTGAATGGATGAATGGTTTAGCAAATAATCGTTCTAACTTGGCTGCATTGAGCGCTCTAGTATACTCGCGTGCAGCCTGGAACGGATGAAGCTTTGGATCAGTATTTCTAGGCTGCTTAAAAATATCATGTCGTGTTTGACGTAAATAATCAGCAGGATTTCTTGAGATAACTTTAATTTTCGCCTTTTCCATTTGGTCCACCAGTACAAATGGAATTAATCCTCCATTTTTCGCAAGTCAGTAGCCAGCATGGTCTCGCATGGAAGGGCATGGGCAAGTCATATCGTACAGTACAGTGCAATTACATCGGCTCGGACAGTCGGACATTTGTGTCTCATGGATGTGTGTCTAATATACTGTACTGTTCCAAACACTTTTATTCGTTGGAATGTCCTGAAGGGGTTGATCGATCCTGTAATAATTCGCTTATTTTTCTAAATTGAGCCATATTATATTGAAATCTATTCTATTTTACTAAGTGCCTGCTTCAAAACAGTGATATCAAGTCGTGAATGTTCTTCAATGACTACAAGGGATTAAGAAGATTTAAGAAGAATTTGATGCAAGACGATCCACACTAAGTAGCTCATTTTTGGCTTCGTTTCCCCTGAAAAATCTGTCCATCCGAAGAGTTCTCAACCCTGTCCTTTCCGTCTTGTCCAGTCCAGGTCCAGGGTACGCTGCTACAGTACTTTTTATACTTGATATTGTGGCTTGTACAGTACAATACACTCTGTTTTTGTACCGTACTGTACAGTATTCAAAGTTTTTACACACAACCCTACTAAATCTTACCATAGCTCTTCCTATACTGTAAACAAGCATACGATACCAAACAACTTGTAGCGATACTGTAGAACACCAAGGACTTTCTGAACTTTAGGGGGAAATTTTCTCTTGCAAAATTTTCATGTCCCCTCCTAATGCTGGTAGAAAAATTAGAAGTTTGGAAGACCAGAAGCAACACAACACTGATATGCTGTAGTCTAAGTTCACTGGAAATTCCCCCTAAACATCAATGTTACCGTAGAAAAAGCTCTTAAAATAGTTCTACAATCCAGTCCTGTTCAGTCCGATAGAAATATAGAAAAATCGACACACTGGAGTATTGTACTGTATGGCTATGACAAGAAGGCCATGATCCAGTTCGTTTTTTGGATCGTACAGTAGTAAATATTTCTTACTCTTATTCTTGGCATTTCTTCGTGTGTCCTTCCCTAGCTTCCTTACTATTCCGATGTTGCGTATTGAAGTATATTTTTTGTCGTGCTGTACAGTATACTATAAAATAATGGAGATCTGTCTTTCCTTGGGCATGAATCACCTTGCTCTGTCTTTGGCTCTTACTGTATATTATATTATTGATTGAAGTGATCACGTTCACAGTTGGAAACGATGTAACTAGATGTACATTGGATAGTATCATGCAGTGATCTCCAGTATGCTAGTAAATAACATTACATGTAGAATCAATATGGATATACAGTAAAAGAGAAAAGTCCATCCCAACAACAGTCATCAAGTTGGCCGGTTCGAGCAGCACATCTTTGATAAATTAGATCATCGACCGATGGGATGGCGAACAGCGACCATACAGCTTCACTTCTGCGATATACAGTACACTCACTGGTCGAGAATTGACTATTAACATGGATAACTACCAGCCGTATAGCACAATAATATAATATTCAGTTGAGCATCGTTATAGTTAGGCTTAATGAAAACGCTCTTGACCGACTTCTATATTATATTTAAAAATTCATTCATTTCCCTGATATTTACTTTCTCCTATCTACCTGCTCACCGGTAGCTTGATCAGTGTTATACCGGTAACTAGTAATGCGCTATGTAAAAGAGTATACAATCAATTTCATAGTAGACGGTCATTTGGTGATTAAACTAGCTGAAAGTAACTTATCTGACCGTAACTTCCAAGGCGATCAAAACTTAATACTACAGTATTTTTATGAATGAATACTTTCTTAATCCGTATATGTGGAATTTTCTCGGCGATTTCACGTATATTCTCAATCGTCACTACATTGGGATAGTTGTATAAGATAAAATAGAACATTTGAATTTACTGTATATTGTGCCTAATTGCACCTTGATATGATCAATGTCGGTTGGAAGGCCACATTCAATTTAGTATATGGCGAACAACAATAATAAAAAAAAAACTGTATTGTAACATTGTTTCTGTTTGGCGTCTGTAATTATAATTATTAACAATAATAAACAAGCAACGCAAGTTATGGGAATAGGGTTTAGATGCAGGGTTTGTCGTACTACTTTGTAGATTTTGTACAGTACTTCTACGTGATCATTTGCTCAAGAGCATATACCTACCAATCGTTGGATATCGTCATGCAATGATTAGACAGTAAACTGCAGTATATCGCCATCGATTTACATCTCGATATTGTAATTACTGTACTAGACAGGAGATTTCGATATACGCATATCACGTAAATGCATTGAGCACTTTAATCCCTTGAAAGGACTTGCCGAGAATACTTCGTTAATACATGTAAGTCGAATGCTTTGATCCATTCTTCAATCGCTTATATATTAATTATAATTATCATTCGTTCGTATCCAGATGACTGTTTCAAGTCGTAAAGGATACACGTGCACTGGATCTAACAAACGAAACTACAGATGAAATTTGAACTCTAGATGGGAAGGATAAATTAAACGCTTAGTCATGCGGAAAAATTATGTGGGCAGAAATAGAAGAGATAAATGGAGCTATCAATTATCGTAGTAAAATGATAAGGGTGCGAAAGGAACGAGAAAGAATATCTAGAATTTATTCCGTACTCGATGCGTAAATGTTAAATTTTGCGAATACGTGTATTTTAAATACTTTATTAAAGAATTAAATATAATTATTACTATATTATATACTCGTATGCAGTGCAATAATACAATGGACTATATCATTTAGTAATGTTCTCATTCTAAGCACATTCCTTAATCAAATCAAGAAAAGACTTATAAATAAAACTGTGAACAAGTAGTGAGGAAAGAGATAATTGAAAACATGTGTGGTACGATTAAAAAGCAAGGGCATCTCAATCAATTTAAACAAATAGATTAAGAAAGGTTATAGTTGAAACCGTTAAATAGCAGTTAATAGGTTCCATAAAATATTTCAAGATTGTTAAAATTGGTAGGAGCGGTTACTATGATGCCAGCAATTATTACAATTTCGATGTCTATACTTCTAGCACATCATTAGATTAATCACCTAATTATCCTTTACTGTATCAAATGTTGTTATAGTGCACAAATGTGGGGGATAATAGTGACGTTTTCCTTGTTTTAACTCAAATATAAGAAAGTTGATAAGAGCTATCTGACTGATATCATCCATTAGATGTAATTCGAGCTGATGGATAGAAGTGTATTATTTTAGACCGATAAAATAGATTGTCTACTGTCAATATCCTATATACGTACATATATATTTATAAATATATAATATAGCAGCCAATTTACGCTTCTTGAGTATTATTAAAGAAAGTTAGGATTTAAAAATAGTACAATGAATATTAATCGATCATAATATCGAAGGAAGAGTAATTGCATCTGCCAATGTTAATGTAGGGAGTTTAACACTTAAAATGAAGTTTCTATCGTTGTAGTAACAAGAATTTGTGAAGCATGCGAGTAACATTTAAACTAAAACAATAACCTTTAACATTTTATATACTGTCTATAAAACTCTTCATCATAAGATACGATTGCAGCTTAAACCATTTCATTCTGGTAATGACTTTGAACGTGACATAGAATGAGGAAACTGCCTAATATTAACGGCTATTTTGGCCACTTCTTCGTTAACTTGATTTAACTTGTTTTTTTTGCATTCTATTTCGGATTTCAATTCACCTAATTCTCGACTGAGTCGTCTGATATTTTCTCGTACCATACAGGCATTTTGATGGCTACTTGCTAACTCGTCTTCTCTTAAGGAAGTCGATTTGGTTATTGGTCGATAATTCGTTGAAATTTTATCTTCGTTAGATGCCATGGTAGGATGGAAGTAGTAGATAATCTTAGAGTATCGTACAGTCAGTAGGTCTTTATATCTTATATCAATGAGTTTGGATTGAAGTTAATTCCATAAAGGTTAGTGTGTGGTTTAATTCTACTCACTGTATTATGAACTTTACCCCCTACGGTTAAGACTACCTTTGTATACTTATTTCCTATTAAGTGGACATGTCATCGGGTGTATCAGCACAATCTAAGGCAAACAATAAAAACTCTGTTATCATTTCATATATATCAAAAAACAAAGTTCACGAGAAAAAGAAAGACTTTTGCTATTGTTTTCAACGTTTATTTCTCTTTTAATTGCGATATAAAAATTTTAAAGATGTTTTGTTTTCATAGAGTCAAAATTACTCTAACTAGAGCAATAGGACAATTTCGCGCGAGCAACTAGACTACAATACATAGCGATAATATTTGACACCCAATCGTGTACTTGATATTATCCTATAGTAATTATAGCAGTATACTGACCAGAACTAAATCTTATCCAGTTGAGCTTGAATAGTAAGATTTAAATGAATGCACTATTCATAATATAATTACATTCTTGACTATACGAGAACGTGATAGAAGCGTAAGTGCTCATTATCGCGTTATCCTAATGTCTGTACATTTTATTTGTTTGCAAAAGTACTACCCGCTATGCGCACTACTCAAGAATGAGTCACTATCCCAAAACCTGTTAGTGTTGTGATGCTGCCGTTAAATTGAAAGCTAATACATCTAAGTTATTATCTTCGTATCTCGAGACAAAATGGCTCAGATAATTATCGGCATTAATATTTAATATATCTGCAAATTTAAAGATTGTTAACGCAGAATGTGTTTAATCATTTATTTTTAAATCTTTATAAATAATTTATTATTTCAATTAGAGCACATTAGAGGAACAGTTCGTGTATTTATGATTTTATAATTTCAATTACATTGTCTGTTTCTGCTTGCATACAGAATGGTACTATACCACTAATGATATGAATTATTCATTTGCTTAATACGATTTTCTTTTAAGATACCCGTATAATACGACAACTGAACCTTCTCGTAATCATAGTTTCAAAAATGAATTTGCCGCATTAATTTTCTCTTTGAATTATATAATGATTAAGATTGTAGTTGTAACGATTCGATATAACTAAATATACTGATAACTCTAGAGTTAAGTTAACTTAAGGTTCAACCCATTTTCAGTAAGGCGGCCTTTCAAATTGCTTTCTTATAGTTTTAAAATGCTGATATTGATTTACTGTATTTTTGAGAGGATAACGTGCGTAGCTATAGCATGTAGTTGCATAATTCACTAACTTTTACGTTTACTTAACGCACAATTATTTCATCCTGAACAAAATATGGTGATACATAGACGCTGCACAGTACGCAATTCAGATTGCATTGGAATTAAGCTCTCAATGAACAAATTAAAATTAGAATCCTTTATTATTCGGTATTCTCAGACATATCATAGGCCATAGTTCGCATAAACGGTGATGTAGAATTTTATTTGCTTGAATTCATTTATGTAAGTACTTTAAGGATGTGAGATTTAATATGAATGGTTACCAAATAATAATTAATGAAACAATTTGGCTATTTACTAGCGGACCCAAGTTTAGTTGTTAGCATTTATGGCAGAGGATAAGGTAATGACATTCCGAAAATGCATCAAACCCGGCATGCGCCATCACACTAAAAATAATACATCACTCTGAATATGACATCAAGATTATGTTTTTTATTGAAGGAATAGGCATGATATAAACATAAACCAATAATATATCCAGATAAATTTATACAAGTAATTTTAAATGTCAGTAAAGATTTTCCAACTTTTGATTTTAAGTTTTTCGTAATTACTTTTCTATTGATATCGAATGATTTTAAGTTAATAAAAAATAGTAGTAATGAAATGCATAACTGTTTCTAAAATGTAAAGTGATACTATTTTTTTAATCTTGACTCTAAGATAACGAATTTTCCTTATCAAATCTTAAAATAAATAGATTTTCACGCCCTGCCTTTCGAGACAGAATTATTTCACCACTGAGACCAACCATCTTCATTGTCTTAATAATTTCATCTACATGTACAAATAAACAATGCGCTTATTTTTCTTCTTAGCGTTAAGAGATACCGTAAGTAGTGAAGATAGCCGCTGTTTATTACAGCCATTTAGTAGTCTCAAGTTAGTAATTGACATACTATAGATATAATACTAGATAATCATTTAGTTTAATTACTAGGAGATGGATAAAATTACCAGACTTTGGCAACTTTCGAAATACCTGGATAATTTTCTTTTATGGCAACCAGATAGAACAATCCACTAGGCGAAAGAAGTTGTGGAACTATGGTAAACAGTCTGTCCATGACCTTTAGAATAAGTCGTAAAAAAAATCTCAACTTAATTATAGATATTAATGTCCTAACTTTATTTCACTATAATGTAGGATTATCAATTATTAATGCAGCATATAGAGTAATAATTATATACACAAGATTATATAATTATTAGTAGATGGATGACCTCTCTTCCATTTTCTCCGCCGGCCCAAGAGGCTTCAATGCCATTTCCGGAAATCTTTAAGAAAGGGATAATGCGACATTTACTCGTAATTTCATACATTTTACTAAGGAGAGTTAAAATCGACCTCTTTGGAAGGTGTAACTACGTATGGAGGATTAAATAATATCACGTCTACATTTCCAGTTAAGCGATCTTTTAAGCCAGATACCTACACGTAATTACATAGACCTTTAACAAACGCGTGAACATGTAAGAGCGTATAGTATTATGCAGTTTGTAGCAATATTCTAATAGCAAACGTAAATAGAAGTAGCAACATCAAACACTTAAGCGATGCTTTCTAGATGACTAAAAAGCTCTATTCCCATACCAGATCTGTTATGATAACTTCACATTGTGGCATTTCGTTCAATTTTGCAGTATCGATCGTGCAATTAGCTGCGATAGGGTTAATATCGGTAGCCCTAAGGTAGAGTAAAAAGAAGGATTTGAAGTCAAACAGCAGCAATTTACTCCCTAACGTTATAATCAACATTCATAAAAGATATGTTGAATGTTTTCATCTTTAGCACTTATCAAGTCTCTTACATATAATAACATTCAGGTCCCAATATTTTCGATATGAATGATATTATAGCACCAGAACCAGAACCAACCTCTATACAAATTAAAGGGCTACAAAAGGTAACAGCTTCAATCTTCGAGGAATCTTTTACAGTACTGTACTGCGAGAAAATAATGGTAAAGATAACTTCATGTTAGCCATATTAGACTTGCCTTCTTTCTTTTAACAGAATCGCATCATTTTGCAATGCATCCATAAATAGGAAAGTATCTTCAGCAGCATCGTAGACATAGTTTACGTAAGGCTTTCTTGATAGATGAGAGATTGAAGGTGTGGGATAATCCATTGGTTATCAAGTAATGATTTTACGAAATTATAAACTTTTCTTCCAATTTGATAAAATGTATTTAGAAATGCAGTAATTATGTAGAATTCGAATTAGTTGGTTAGCAAGTAATTGTGTAACTACTGTATTATCCAAGCTGCAAAACTATGAGCATTTTCAAGCCCATAAAGTCCATTTTATGTCATCTAAAGGTGATAAAGTACTGTATACATTTCTCTTTTCTGATCATATACCCTATATTTACTCTTGTACCCTTACTAATAATTGAATGACTAGGGTATACTATAATTTGTAAATGAGGATAGCATCGAAATGAGAAGGGCTCACGTTAGCTGGAGTATTTTGGGAAATGCATCTAGTACTACAGTACAGTATAATGTACAGTATACTGTACACTGTACACAGTACAGTACAGTACAGTACTGTACAGGGTGTCTCATAAGTCTTTCCCACTGTTTGAAATCATATGAAATTATAGTTTCAAGTCCTTATTAGACAAATTTGGTATCATTCGATTGGAAATAAGATGCTTTACACGAATATGTAATTTAAATGCACATAAAATATGTCCAAGCTACTAATATTAGCACTTAAAGTCAAAAATACTTATATAAACTCTGGCGTTTTTCTACAGTACATCGTAATAAGGGTTACAGTACAGTACAGGAGTTCATGACTGGAAGGACTTTACAGTACGTACTGTACATACTGTACTGTAGATTTGGAGTTGGAAAATGGTGTCTCACACTACAGTACAGTACAGTACTGTACAATGAGTGTATGACCAGTGCCCAAGATTGTCTTATGTTGCACTATTTGGCTTAGTGGAAGTCAAATCGATGTTAGTAGATTGACGAGGATCGAAGTAGGTTTACTGTCAAATAGATGTCAGTAAATTGACGAGGATCGAAGTAGATTTATTGTCAAATAGATGTCAGTAAATTGAGGAGGATTGAAGTAGATTTATTGTCAAATAGATATCAGTAGATTGAGGAGGATCGAAGTAGATTTATTGTCAAATAGATATCAGTAAATTGAGGAGGATCGAAGTAGATTTATTGTCAAATAGATATCCGTAAATTGACGAGGATCGAAGTAGATTTATTGTCAAATAGATATCCGTAAATTGACGAGGATCGAAGTAGATTTATTGTCAAATAGATATCAGTAAATTGAGGAGGATTGAAGTAGATTTATTGTCAAATAGATATCAGTAAATTAAGGAGGATTGAAGTAGATTTATTGTCAAATAGATATCAGTAAGTTAAGGAGGATCGAAGTAGACTTATTGAAGTATAACGAACACACTTTACAGGTGTTGTTGTTAAGATAGAGATATATCATCGGAGAAAGAGTAGATCAAGAATGCTTTTAATGAGCAGATGTATACGATGATATACACCAATTTGTCACAACCCTCTCTTGTGACATAGGAAACGTAAATTAACTAAGTAAAAAAATCTCTGGTGTAACTATAATAACTCGGGTTACTTCTCCCAGTCTCTCCAGTTTCGATGTTAGTGATATACGAGTTGTATGTAGGTAGTTCTATAGATCAAGATAGGTGTGCTATCAGTATACTGTGCACGTACTGTGCCCATTCTATCATACTGTACAGTGGTCTGATGCTATGTTGCAATGGCTACTCTAGATATCATCACTTTTACGTCCAGCTATAGCGGGACTCTGCAGCTATTGCTATTTTCGAGAATTTCAATCATTAAATGTTTCTTTCTGGAAAGACTGTAGTCAATAGGAATTAGTATGGACTATAACAGAATGAGACGAACTCTAGCTATAAAATCGCTCGCTCTGCATTAAAGGGAAGGTGGGAAGGATGAGATCGAAGAATACTCTGATCTTCTTCATCTAGTTACCAGCATACCAGCTTGATTTCATGCATTGCTCACGTGTACCATCTACCCACCAGTATTAAGTCCCTAGTAATTATTGTGCGGTATTACGACGCGTGTATGCTCAGAAATACCTGAGAAACAAGTAAGGTCTCGCAAAATAACAACCGAGAAGAATACCCAAAGAATTCATACATTAAGCTATGCCTATATATACGCGTAAAATAACTGTTAAGCGGTAGACAACTTACTATACTGTACTATATACTGTACAGCATCACACTCTGGCGGAGAATGTAAAGGATCTCCCATGTATAACTTTAGAAGGATAATTTTACTTTATGTGTACCAGGAGTTTCTGACCAGACTATAAAAGGCTGGTGTCTGAAGATCACTTTTTAGTTAGTTAGTCTTAGTCGGTTAGTTAGTCAACTAGTTTGTCAATTGCTATTGAATTGTCAAGACAATAATCTTGGTTGTCAAGATTTCTTCAGCAATAAATAGTAGTCAATCTCTGACTACCTCGTCTACATTATACTATAGTATTCGGTCGTTGGAACTGAATTATTTGGTGATATAGCTAATCTCGCTTCTTTTAAGTCAGTAAGAGGCGTTCTTCATAAGCATTGGCGTTGTGTAGACTACTTTGCCACTAGTGATGTGTGTAACAACAGTATATCATTGAACTACCAACTTAAATGCAAGGGAAGGCTCGATGAATCGGCAGTAGTGGGACTTTAGTTGTTATACAGAGAATTATACAGCGTATCAGAAGTTTGCTATGCAGTTCTAAGACTAACATATTATTCAGTAGATCAACATACTAACGTACAATGTACACCGCAGTAGAATGCTTTAGCAGATGGAACATCGACCAACTAGTAATTAATAATCGTTTGGTCAACGGTATCGCATTCCATAATTACATCTAGCATATTGCTATATTATTCGCAAGACAAAATTATTTATTTTTAGAACGTAAGATGATTTATTAACATTGAATAGGAAGTTATAACAGCGCCAGCACGTCGAAGTTTACATGCAATATTTATATGCACACCATGAATTAGTTGCGCCGGATTGCATTCAAGATTGATTTCTAAAGCGTAAGCACATATTTAGCAAAGCATCCTATGCATCTAAAGATTTAGAAAGTGTAGTATCGTATGGTGTAAGATAAAAAAATGAATTTTTTGCGGTTAACAAGCAATTGACTACAATTTCCAGCTATTATTATTATATCAAATCGTCAGATAGTTTGCAATGGCAATGATCATAGGTCAACGACATCTATAATTTCACAGAAGTGTCAATTTCGCTATATGTAGACATATACGCATTTATTTTTAATCGCTAAATTTATACATTAAGAACGAATAAATATAAGACATTCTTTGATTAAAGCATACTGTATAATCGGTGAATTTTCGTGCAAAAATCGGAATACTACAGCTTTAATAGCAAAATTTAGGGTATGTGCCTAGTTTTTTTGTCCTAATAATACTTTGGAAAATTCACAATACCTATGCGAAGGGTAAGCTATGAATCTGTTTAGAAACTAAAATACAAGGGTAAATTTGAAAAATTGCAAGGTTATCATACGTAAGCTCATATTATCTTGTTGTTATAACATATGATATAAACTCCTTTTGAAGTCATGTCTCATATGCGTAGAACTTTTACTGGTGGCATAAATGTACGAAGATGTATATTTACATAACAGACTAGCAGTTTTTAATTTGTTTTTGCTTAACGTGCGAGCCTACGTCAGTAAAATATTAGTTTCTATGCGTACAGGTGCTGAAAATGAATTTACTGCCTAATATTTTATTGATAGATTAAGTATGTACTTGAAGCTGATTCAATCAAGCTTTTCAAATTTGTTACTCGCTTAGTTGATGTTATTATCTTTAACAGAACTCATTATGATACAGCTTGCTGGTATCCAAAAACTTATTCTAAAGTACTACAGCGAACATCGGAGTTATGCAAGGAAGTCATAGCTATACGGACGCCATCTACGTAATGCATTTGGTTATCTCTTGATATCTATCTTACTTGCCAATGTATCGTAATCTAGTACCGCATGTAGTCTAAAGGCGAAAGTTCAAATAATTAATTATAATCTTGCTTAGCTTTCGTTAGATTTTTCGATTTAGCAAGGTCGATTTCCGTGTTCGAAACTTCGTTAACTTTTCGAAATTTTCTAGTTAAACTTGGTGATGCACTTGCCTCCGGAGGAAGGAAAGGTGGAATTACTTTTGATGGACTTCTGCTGGTGCTACATCGTCCTCCAGAAATGCCCTGACTTTTGCTTGTTAGAAATCTAGCCTTAATGTCACTTTCAAATTCGGTATTTGCTAATGATTGCTTTCCATTGATAGAACTGCTCGAACCAGGATTTAATTTGACATCCTGGGTTAAGCAAGGATCGTTTGACTCCTTACTGGCTAAACTCTGAGTAGAAGTAGTACTACTAAAGGAAGAGCTATTAGCTCTTTTCGACATTGTACACTTATTATCAAAATCATGAGCTACCCATGAATTGCGATGCTCGATACTTTGTGAGACGGGCAAGTAGCAGAGATTGCTGGCTGACGATTTTGGCCCTCCAGATTGATTCCTAGGATTATTCTTACTAACGCTATCATTTCTAATATCGTTATAAGCGTCCATTTCGATATAATCAGCGAATTCTTTCTTACCACTTGTATTATTTCTATCATCTGATGTTTTATAGTGTCCAACAGAATTTTTACGAAAATCGATATCAATGTAATCTGATGGCTTGCTATTAATATCTCTATCCGGTTGCATGACCGTATAGTGGCCGTACTTTTGACTAATTTCTTCCTTTTTGGCACAGTTGTACACATGGCTTTCATCAGTTTGCGATGCTACATCAACGTATACTTTAATGGTAGGTTTTACTTCGGTTAGCTGCAATTTTGAACTATCTTTGGATGCATTAAGAATGTTGACAGGAGCATTAGATTTATTATGATTTCGTTCCGATTGAAGAGATTGATCAATGTAATTTTGAGCTATCATATCATAATAATCAATCTCTGCGCACTGTTTCTCATTACTAGGTTCCATGTTTATGTAATCTGTTTCATCATTCGTCCCGTCGGTTGTTATTTCAATATTCATGTAGTTGGTAGATTGAGGCTTTACCGGTTCCATATCGACATAATCAGTAACTTTTGAGTTTTTATCTAAAGGCGCCATATCAACATAACCGTCTGCCGCTTTTGTGTTTATCTGAGCAGCCACGGGTTCAATATTTACATAATTATGTGATGATGTACAACTTGTCGCTAAAGAAACTTGATTAGAATCGTCAGACTGAATTTGTGTACTAGACATATTGACGTTATTTCCGCTTGTGATGCAGGTTGTACTGTGCGTCTTTAGTTTAATATTGTCCACACTAAATCCTTTCTCTTTAAAAACAGCTTGCAAACTGATCCGGTCATTTGGTAAACTGTGACTTAGAAAATTATATGCTTTGTTTGTATCTTGCCTGAGATTAATTTCTGAGTTTTTACTTCTTAAATTGGTATCGGAAACATTTTTAATTACTTTCCTTTCTTGATTTGTTTCTCTTTGAAACCTTAAAGGGCGATCTGTTTTCGCAATTGAAGGGTCTCTTGGTCTACCTGACTTAATATCAGGGTATTCTGAAGAACTATTAGTCGATTTTGATCTTATGCGTGGAAGGAAATGTGAGAATGAGAATCGCTTGGATATTCTCTTACTACTTCTATGCAACATATAAAAGTCGGCCCCAGTCAATGTACTTGTAGTAGATGAGATAGTATTGAAATCAATGTTGCTATCATTCCGTGATAGAGCACACGCATCTGCAATCGGAGTTGTTTCTAGTTTATTTCCTTTCCATGTTCGCATAATTCTGCCAATCCAAATAAACAATTGATTGTTATGAAAAGAAGACAATTAATTAAAGTTGCATTGATTAACGTAAAACGGGAAACACTATTTTCTTTACTACCTTATAGCCTTTGCGTGTATTCTTTCGGCTATTATTTGATCATCGACCTGCATCCAGAGTTTACCAGGACCGGTACATGCAGAATGACCATTTTCTACAAAGAAAAATTGCCCGGCATGGCCGCATCGCCTTATATATAAATATTTTAAAACTAAAGGGTCGGTCGTATCTGAAGAACCTAAGCGCGTTAATTTCATCTCTGATGGTAGCATCTGTAGACTATAAGCTCCGGCCAATTGTTTGGATTTGGCAACATCTCGGTCAATTACTGTCACTTGCCAGCAATCCTCTAATCAAATAATAATGAAACGTCAGAATATATTACCTACTGTTCTTAATTAAAGTATTTATTTTTACGGATTGAATCATTTTAACGTAGAATTTATCTTGAATTATCTGTGTAAATGATAATAATGATTGCAATCTAACAATTAAGCTAGATGATTGATGTAATAACGAAAAGAAATTGTTATACAATCGTATCGCATTGTAGATCATTATCGTGGCGATGTCGGCGGTAATCATGTAGGCAAAAAGTTAGCTTTTAGAAGAATAAATAAACAAGGATTGTCAATGGTTCGTAACGCCAAAATTTTTGGATAGTATCTAACAAGCGATTCGGTAACCATTTGTGCAGTACTAAACTTAAAAAAATTTGATTTTATAGGGCAAAACCTAAAAACCTAGAGGAAGAGAGAATTATTTGCGACTATTCCTCTGTGGTAACCAGCGATTCTTGAATGGCGAGACTCATTGCATAGCAACATCTGGCAGTAAATAATTACAGAGTTATGCGACTTTTGTTTATAGTATAGTATACTGTACAGTGTATTGAACTTCTAAATAGGTCATAGAATTGTAATTAGTTACGTTATTTGGAAAGAAAACTGATAACGAGATTGTATTTTCTGCTATAGTATCGCATAAAGCAGGTATTTAAGATACACAAGTCACAGAATCTCCACTGCAATCGCTCTCGAACATCTTAATTAATCGCCAAAAAATTCAGTGCAACATTTTGACATTTTGTAAAGTACATACAGTGATTACAGTAAGAAAATTTAGCTGAAATGGTATATAAATTTTCTTATCGTAAAGAATGGCCAATGGATTTTAAATACAGAAATTAGTGACTTTAGAATATACAAGTATAACATTATCTATCGGTTCATCTTAAGAATATTAAAAGGAAAAGCTATTTGAAAAATCGTGTAATCGTATAGACTCTGCTTATTATTTCAACGAGACACTATAACAGATATATTTACATCCCACTATAACAGCTGCTTCTTCTATCATTGTCTACATAGGGTGATATATATATGAATAATTAGGAGTTATTTAAGGCTGATAGAATGGTGAATATATAGATCGATATATAATACCACTGAATCCTTTTGACACCCTTTCAAAATACCAAGATCTTAATGTATACGATCGATAATGAAAATTGTAAGCGTATGATCTCCGAATCTGATGGAGACCCTACCATCAGTATTCAATTATATTAGACCTCAATATTCATGTAGTCTTCTGCTTTGATAGATATCATTTAATTATGACATTAGAATACGTAAATGTTCAAATATCTTTAAATTTTAAAATGAAATTTTACGAAATCAAGTTTAATAAAAATGATCTTATTCCATAAATACTCGTAGCTATGTGCTAATGAAGGCTTGAAGTATCCAAAAGGATATTAAGTATACCTCTGCGCTTAGTATTTTAGTAATAATTTAACACTGTAAAAGCGAGAATAGAACAAAAATTCAATTGTGTTGATAAATGAAATACGAAAGAAAATTTGGTTGACAAAGGACGTTTAAATGGAACACTAAAATCGAAAATTGTCGATCTTGAAGTGGTTTAATGTCCAATATTATTATTGAACTACAATTTGTTATATTGTATGTCCCGTACAATCTTCAAATTGGAGCTATCACTTCTTTAAAATCTCTTTCAGTAGAACTCATTAATAACTTTTAAGTACTTATGTATAACGTTACTATGTCCTAGTAACACCTTTACCCATATTATGTAACTGTCATGGTAGTTACTAAGCCAAGTTGCTTCTATTCAATTATAAAACATTATTTTTTCACATGCTGCATAGGGTAATAATAAACTTACGATTATCTCTCGAATTCTGACTATCTGAATGTTTCACTTCATCAATCGCTATCAGCCAGCTTTCTAGTTCTTCTCTTGCTTTAGTATATAAACTATAACAATATTCTTGCGTATAAAATGACATAGTATATGGGTATTTACTGTTTGCCATTTTGATAATTTTCCAGCAATCAGCTAATCTGATAACACGACGTGGTAAAGCATTTCGATTAAATTTCTTCTCGTTGTGATAGCATTCTATCCTACTCGGACCAGAATTAGACTCGTATCGTAAAACATAATATCGTTCTCTGGAGTTCTAGTTAACGTAGAATAACATGGAAAATTCGAATTAATATCTAGTAATATGCGATAGTTTCTAGAGGCACCACTACATATACTTTAAGATGATGTCGATTTTAGTACATGCTTATATCCAGATATCGTTTGTAAGTAGAAGCAACCATATCGTAATACATGAAACAAAATAATGTATTTTACTATAAAAGGAATATTTTGTCTAAAAGATGAGTCACTATGAAAAATCATTACGTTAGTAGAGGTACGACTTACTTTAACTTTTTTCAGGTATCCACGTTTTCTAATATCGGTACTTTCAGCCATTTCTTGATTTAATTACAACAGTACGAGTACAGCTTACCAGTTAAGATATTTAATATACAGGGTGATTACAGCTTGTGATAACATCAAAACGAAATCTCGATAATGAAAATACTCAGACTTTGGCGAATAGATCACAAGAAATCCTTTGAATAAAACTACGTAATGGATAGGAGTTACTCATATAATGTAGTGAAAACTAAATAAAAAGCTTTTTCAAAACTAACAAGTCGTTATCTTGGAGAAAGGGCCTAGGAAAATCTTTTGAATGTAATTTATTTCTGTCTTAATAATTAAAATCTATCCAGAACAAATTGAAAACGAAAATATAGAGCTAAAATTTTTAATTAAAAGTTATAGGAACATGATCCCCAGAACGAATATACGCACAAGATTGCGTTGATATTCAGAATTCTAAAGAGGGAAAATAATGACGTTAAAGAGATCTATCAATAGAATGCGTAAGTAATGGAAAGTCGTTAGATAGGTGGTAATTATACTTCGGTCATAAAAACCAAATACATAATCATGGCTAATCGAAAAAATTGATTTAATAACGTTAGCAAGTAAAAATATGAAAGAATTCAGTCTTTGATGAACTTTTGCACAGTTTTAAAGACAAAAAAAAAGTAACGCCAAGCACATTAAACAACAGACCAGTTAACCAACTTGGCTGACAGCATTTTCGGTTTTGAAAATGTAAATAGCGAGGGAAAATTGAAATTTTGGTATAAAGAATAAGCCTTAAATAGAGCAAGGAGAGTTTAAACTGAAAATTAGAGACTCAAACTATGGTAAGAAAGTTTATGAAGAAAGAATAAAATACTTTCAATATTCTGCCGCTATGGAGTCATTCAATTTTAATTTGCATTGGCCTTCCCATATGTAATGTCAAAGTAAGCCTCTATTTATGATTCTCTTTGAATGACAATGAAAGTCGATGAAAGCATAATAAAATAATAATTAAGGCGAATCAATAAACTTTTTCAGATCATTATAACCGTTTAACACCTATAGCATCAGTAGAAAATCATAATTATAAAATACAATATTGCGACACTTAATTTAATAGGTTGATAAAAATACAGCGATGAACGGGAATCAAGCTAAGCGGATGCTATGACTTTTATACATTCCAGAGCATAAATGTTTGTAGTATATTGTTTCATAGTCAAATACACCGAGGCCATATTCTTCTTGAAAAATTTATGATCCTACAGTGCAAACTGTTATATGATGTCATTATTCTATAACGTTTCTGTCTACTACACAATTAAAGACAGGATCCTAACTACGAATGATAAAAATCTCGAATGTGTTGATAATTATTAATTAATGTCCATTGTTTTTTTTATAGAGCATTGAGAATAATGCTCAACGTTGGCTAAAATTAAAAATTTTAATGACGTAACTCGTTTTAAGATTTTATTCTTTGATTGAGTGATAAAGTTTATAAAAGTACTTAAGAAGATCATCTAATTTCAACTAATAGAGTATAAAGCGTTTGCGAAGTGCAATCGTGAAAATTATAGCTTAACTATTGCACGCGTAAAAAAAATCAACTAAAACTATGAATTTATAACATCTTTAAGCTACAGTATTTGGTAATGTTTTGGTTTTGCGATTGCTGATTCCTCAAAAATAAGTAAGGCTTCGTCTACTAACACAGTCTGTGATATTAATTTTATAGGATATATGTATTTGACTACACCTAATACTCAAGAAGCACTGTGTAAATATCAATATGAAAGCTAGTATTACATAATATAATCGATAATACCAGTAGGCCTTTTAAGAAAGCGTTATTCATTCTGCAGTACGTGGGCATATTTTATGCATTTATAGCAGTCCAATACTACAGTACATTATAATATATATTTCGTAAAGCCGCATCAATGCTGCATCTACTAGAAAGCATTTGTTGTACTAATTTATGCGATAAAAATTTGTTGAGATAAATATCGTATTTACTATTCACTTATGTATATTACGAATTTCGACTAGCACTGTCAAATGTATATACACGTAAATTTAAAAATATGTTATATAATAGTCTATATCTTATATAGTAACATGTATCCTCAAGTGAAAGGGAAACAAATGAATATTGACTTCTTCTCCATACTGTAATATGATAAAAAAATAGCTAGATATCTTGATGCTTGCTTTAGATGTTTCTTAATTAATTGTCTTGCACTTTGAGTAGATTCTATAGCATTAGCAAGATCCAATAATCGTTTACTTTTCAGAGGGTTTAGAGTGCAGTCTACCAGATTTTAAATATAGATGTCGTGTATCGGCTATAAAATGCACTTTTACCAGTTTGTTATGGAATCGGGTTAATCACTGATTAATTTCTGACGGTTCGAATTTAGCCTCCAATGTGTAATAGGTTCTTCACATACGCTATATGCGTCACTAATAAAAAATGAAAACTTATATAGCACTCGTATTGCCAAGGAAACTGAATTAAGCAATACGAAATGACATAATTGGTGTACTTCATATCGTAAGCGTAATATGGTTAGTAAAATTTCTCACTGCATATAACTTATAACCTTTTGAAATCCCTCGCCTATATATGATAGCCTTTAGCTGCTGTGGTATTTTAAAATAAAAATAGAGAACGAGAAGTTTTTACTGATTCTATTCACAGTAAATTAAACCATGGTCTACTTACAATCTTCTACGACATTTATATTTTTTAAATTAACCTAGGTGTAAAGCAGTAAATACAATTATGGATATGTGATTAACGGCATAGGCAAGGTATGATATCAAGTGATCAGGCTATCGGCAGAGCCATTACTCGTCCGAAAGATTTTAGTAACGAGGCAAGAACGATTCTAGAGCCGCTGCCATTTTTTCTACCCCTACATTAATACATTATAATATCTTAAAGATATTGTTATAAGAACTTTAACTGATTTACCAAATGCTATGGACAATCTGCCTACAATCTAACTATATAACTCATTGCAATATAATCTATGATTTATAACAAAATTGTTCCTTGTCCGCGCCATCGAGCAGCTAGATTAAACTTTACTGACAGTTACAAGTATGTAATAGAATTGATCTGATCGGATTTAAGTAACTATTCTTTACGTAATAACTCTATCTATGCAGAATAATGGCAGTTATACATATGTTTGATGAAGTGTCTTAAAAATAATAAACAAGAACTACAGTTTCTTGTAAATTTCACTTTATTACAGAAATTGGGTTCGTCTGATAACTACCAAGGGCTATTTGGCTGCTGTCAGACTATCTAAATTATTATAGCAATATTCATTATTTATATATATACAATGCGTCATAATTTAAAAATTAAGATAATTTAGGGTTGTACTATATATAATATATAATAAGTCACTGGTAAAATTAACACTTAGTAGATTATAGTCGTAATTAATCAGCTGCCAAAATTAGAACTCCTTATAGTCATCGGAAACGAAATCTTCAAACTCTAGATGACCCAAATCTAACTCATTGTTATTGCAGTGTGACTGTCTCGGCTGTTTTACTCTATTGAAATCATAATTTTCTTTTTAAAAGATATCTATCTGTCTGCCCGTCTCACCTTCACGACCTTTGTAGTAATAGCTGCCTGATATTTGCAGAACACAGGATAGTCATTCATTCGATCTCATAAAGATTCTGAACTATTGTCGCTACTCAAGTATGATACGATATTTAAGAGGATCTGTGAAGGGTTGTTGGCTACTTATTTACGATCATTTAATACAGGAGAACGAATTATTTTCTGATATGTATCTTAATTTGTACCAATGCAAAAAGAATACACGGGTATCTTTATCTAATAAATGTCTGATTTTATAATTTTGAGTTGCGATATTTGTAAAAATGTATTAGCTACAGCGACAAAATGATCAGCTACTAGAGATCTCTCTTCGTAAAAACATAGGATCATCGATCCATAATATAATAATAATAATAATAATAACAATGATAACTTCAATACAACCACATTAGTTGATAAATAAATATCAAAGAAATAAGTCACAATCTGATTAAAAAGTGTAGGATACTAACTTGAGCCATTAAAATTCTTCAGTATTCTTACTGATATTAAAAATTACCGAACAAAGTGTACGCATGATACATTTGTTATTTCTAGACAATTTTTTCGGAAATATGTGCGAAATTTATAAAGCTGATGAAGCCTGTAAATTATAGCATGGATATTTTTATGTTCCGTCAGTCTTGTGAACGTAAGGTAACATTGATATGCTATCGTATGATAGTATATTGATACTATATTGCGATCATAATAGATATATCATGAGTATTGTTACAATAGGCTTAATACAAACAGTTTAAACCCTAGTTTAGCTTATAAATTAAGGAAATGTTCAGTTTACAGTACTTGTCCTTCAGTGCTCTGCTGAGCATTTCGTGAACTAAGTTTTAAAAGAGAGAGTACGATAGCTTGATTAATTTCCAATTCCTGCATACGGAGGTGGTGGAAGGTTATCCTCTTTATCAGTATTATCTTCATCTATTTCATTCTGATATAATTCTTCGCGGTGACAATCTTCATTTGTTTCGGTGCTTACAGCGAGGTTCACTTCGATATCATGATAGGACGGTAATACTTGCGATTCTGTATTACATGAAATACCAGGATATGGAGGTGGAGGGTCTTGAAGTCGATTCACAGCAATAGCTTGCTGTATTTATAATAAATAAATGGATATTATTAATATTAAATTTTATTATGACGCTAATCGTACATTATCAGAAACATCGGTTAACAAGTAGACAAGATTATTTTAATTACCTGGACTGAATCTAAAAATCTCTGTTCGCTCGAATACCGACAATAATAAATCAAGCTTTTTAAGCAAACTAGAAACGCTACTAGGTAGCAGCAACATTCTAGCATATTAATTCCTATACTGGGCCAGTCAGTTACAGTAAAGCTAACAGACGTTCCAACGCAGCATAAAATTAGCCCAACCAAAGATGCAACTGATGCAATTGATGTCATAGCCGTATAAAAGTATAGCTATAAACAGACATACAAATACACCGATATAAATATGATTAAATAAAATTGAGATAAAACTTTTCATTAACCGTGATAAGTGATAGGCACAACCTCAGAATTTAAGAACTAAATAAGTATATTTATTATGATGAACTTACTGCATAGTCTATAAAAACTAGATTTAGTAATTCAATTTTACATGCAACGTAAAATTTTAAGGCTTTAAGTAAAGTACGCATATAGCAAAAGGATAATTACCCATGTTTTAAGTATAACGTTAATCCGAAATGTTCCTATCCCTAGTAATCCAGCGATCAGTACCTATGATTAGGAAGTCGTCACTTTGATTAGATTTGTGAGCATCATAAGGATTAGATAGTAGTCGATTGTATATCCTATAATTTCTTTATCGGCAATATGTAAAAGTAAAGTAATAAAATTCTATAATAGCGAAATTTAAATTAGTAGCCGTGTACGAAAATATTTTTCGTAACTTAAGGTTAGATTAGGTTAGGGTTAGTATTAGGGGTAAAATGAACAGCAGTATAAATTATAATTATATTGAGTTGCTATAATAAGTCATACAATTTAGTCTGTGTTATATATGACTTTTTCATATTTTATGCCTTAGTTACTGTGTGGTAGCATGTTACAGTACTTATCTGTTCACATGCATGGCTTTTATAGCGAAAATACAGCGACTGATAAGCATTTAATGCGATATACTGAAATGCATTTAATCACATTTACCTACAGTATATAGTGGTATGATTGCAACAAAAAGAAATCAAATTACATAGCTACGTCCTTCTAGTTCTCTTTATAGCCGGTAGTTTCGGTGAATTACATACCGGACTGATATATTTAGGAAAGCTTAACTCTACCACTACTATTCTACCACTGAGGCTTGAATAGTGTATACCCATTTATGTATTTTAAGCTGGGTATCTATAGTAGATTACAATATCGCTGCACACCGACGGGGAACGTATCGTAGAATATTAAAATTTTGGCACAATAAGATTACACAAACGTTGTTATAAAATGTGCCTTGATACTCGTATATCACATTTTTACTTCTAAAGTAAAAATTCAAAAATGAGTTTGACTTATAATACAATATAATTGGTATTCGATAGATAACTCTGATTTATATCCGAGGGCCTGACTGCATGTCGAGCCTTTAATAAGAAATTTTAGTCGATAATAAATCACTTTATAGTTAAAAGAAAGGAAATGTTGTATATCGGAAATCGGCATGACGTATATACATTGATGAAGAATATCTGCTGATACTTGTACATGTTATCAATTATTTTTGCCCTTTATAAAAATATCATATTAAAATAGATTGTATTTGCATATTACACAGTACATTGGTTCAGTAAGTTTTACTACCGGTACCTTAGTACTATAGTAACGTAGGTACCTCAATAAAAATTAAAAATAACTTCTGACGGTTGAATATGCTATACAGTGCCAATCAAGATATCTCTTTGTATATATAAGATCGATGGACATAGACTATCCGCTTAGGACAATTTAGAGCGACAAGATTACAATATCTAGTTTTTATAGTTCGTAACACAGTACTATCAAGTGATGAGAGATTAAAAGTCTATTTCACTTACCGTTACTCCGGCCCAAAATGAGTGAAAGAAAATATCGGTATTGGAGTTATATCCTAATAAAGCCAAACATACAAATCCAAAAGTTACAAAGAGGACACCTTGTATTGTCAGGATAACTGCTAAACGGTAACATTGTCGTCGAAGTTTTAACTGATGATCGTTGGGAATTGAAATATTACTTTGTCGGTTCATAATTTTAGATTAAAACAAAGTCAAAATTATCAGGCACATGCAAACTATTTTAAGTCATCATAGCCACAAATATCATCTGCGACCCTACCAAGTATCGTGATACAACAACAACAAAAAAATAAACCAGGTGCCTATTTCTATTGTACTATACTGAAGTCATCTACACCAGTTAGTTTTGTTATAGTGTACCAGTGCTATTTTATATTAAGGTATTTTGGTCATTTATTTATTTTATTTTATTATGTATTTCTTTCCTTTTTACTTTGTAATGATCCGCAGTTGCGTGGTTGCGCATACCGTAGTATATTACAGCAGTGCACCTTTATAAAAGCATAAAGGTATTGGTACTGCATTGGATTACATTGGACCTTTGTTCTACGGACGTGATGTACACATAAAAGAAACTAAAATGTACGTCAATAATGATAACTAGCAACACAAACTAGATCCTGCATCCGATACGATTTTATAGTCTATATATGGATTCCATTAGCGTATTGTGCACTTCTTTGTAACCCACAATTCTGTGAGTGAGTGTTGAATTACAATTCATTAGTTAGTAGTAATTTTAATTCGTATATTCATATATAACAGACGTATCTAATATATATACTTATACAGTATACGGATATACTCGTATGTTGTATATTACACCGATTCGCAATGGACACAGTTAAAAAAAAATCATGCTTAGATAATTGCATATCATGCGATATAACGTCTTGATATAGGCTTATCTAAGCAAAGACTTTTTTAGCTTTATGTAATCTGACCCAATCTATTGTATAAGAGTATATTAATGTACGTATATATTGTAGCAGGGACTTGTAAGAGAAATTCCTGTTCCTACATGCCTTGGGCCCTTATGGACCCAAGGTTTCCGCTAAGTGCACTGATGGAGTAAACCACAATTCAGTGAGTGTACGCTGGATTACAATTCATTAGTTAGTAGTAATTTCAATTCGTATATTTATAAATAACATACGTATCGAAAATATACACTTATCAGTATACGGGTATACTCGTATGTTGCACATTACGCCGATTCGGAATGCACAATGTTAAAAAAAGTTATGCTTAGATAATTGCCTATCATGCGATATTATGCCTTGATACAGGTTTATCTAAGCATGGCTTTCTTAGTTTTATGTAATCTGGCCGGTCTACTGTATACGTATACGAGTATATTAATGTACGTAGATAATGCAGCAGGGATTTGTAAGAGAAATCCCTTTTCTCACATGCCTTGGGGCCTTTGGCACCCAATATTTCCACTTGATTTACTGATGGAGTTAAGATTTTTCTAAAGTTTCTAAATAAAAACGTCAACTCATCGTTCATTCATAGAAAGTTCACTCTGTTATGTGTAATTGTCCTTTGTACATATTCAAAAAATAGAAAGAATTCTGTAATAGAAATTAACCAAGACAGATCTCGTTTAAAAATTTTGTGTAATCGATGATACATTGACGAACGTATACTCTTACTCGTATTGTATTTTAGTTTGAAGCTAGTATTAATAACGGTACTAAATTGTAAATAAAGAGATGAATTATATAATTATAGTTCCGCATAAAATACTATACTACGCAATTTTTTGGCCTTTTTCCTTGGTCTCTGTGAATAAAGAATGTGTATACCATACTATCATTCATCTAGCTATTTATTTCCACAAGCTATTAGACTACATTTAATGATGTCACCCTTATTGCAGGTGATAACGTCTTTGCTTACTCAAATGCATTTTGTACACGTAACTACTATGCGTACAATACATACAATATATAACGATCGAAGATGTTATTTAACCAAAACTGTGCTTGCGATATTCCTACGTATACATACTGTACAGTATTAATTAGATAATTATGTATTAGGACTATATTTCGCTAGCGGTTCATGGTATTTTATTATTCGTAGCACTACTGAAGATATCAATATAACGAAATCATATTGCAGGTACGGCGTGATATTGTAGGCTAGCGATGTGACCCGTTGGGAATGTTTACCACTCATCAACAATTTCGATGAGCTCAACGGCTGAGACTATGTAATATACAATTAGGCTTTCAAGTACAGTATGCTGCAATTATGTTTTCTGTGAGCTGTCGTATTGGTAGCCAACCAGGCAACAGTAAAACTTATAGCCATGCAACAAATGGTATCATTCATATACATCCTACATGTAATTTTTGATAAAATCGCTGTTACTGTATTATGCTCAATTTTTTCCAGATAGTAATGCTTAGGTATTATCATAACATGTCGTGAATAAGATTTAAAAGATTCACTTTATTTTACTATTCGTATTCGAGCACATACAACAAAGATTAGATAACTTACTGCCAATGAGCATCATTGTAGAATATTGTACATTGTCCCTGATAACCATATCGCTAGGATTAGAGTATAATTTGTAATGGCCATATCTACCTTTAAACTTACTGCATTGCAAAAAGTAATATTTAATCACAACATTTTGTTTACATCATGCAAATCGGATTAGAGAAGAAAAATAGAAGCAAAAGTGGACGTATTTACAGAAAATTTTTAACATTTTTCGTACTCGCGGAACATTAGCATTCGTGCGAAGAGGTTACTGCATCCATACTAGATGGTTGCTTGTGAGATGATCAAAGTTCATTGTAAATAACATTCAGTTACGCATAAAAGAATAGATTATAGTTCTTAACGGACATATACACTACAGATGTAGTGAGACATATCCTAATTACAACTAGAAGTAATATAGGAAGGTACCGTGATGTCAGAGATGGAACGTCATATTAAATTTACGTTTAAATAAGAATGGAGTTAAATTATGAATAAGTGCAAAGTCGCAAAATTATGATCATCCAAAATTTGAATTACATCATAACTAGGACATTACAAGATTGACGGTATCAGTATGACCGCTGTTTTTAACCGCTTGTTTTCTAACCAAATAGGCAATACGGAATAGCAGCGCCGTTAAGCCCAGTGCAATTAAGTAAATGACAATTTCGATACTATCCATGACGTACGCAACAACCGGTTCATCGTGCTTGATGGTTGCTAATCCAACTATACATAAAATCATACCAGTAACCGACAAGATAGCAGTTACGACGTTGAGGATAAAAACCACGATAAACTGAAAAATGAATTGGAAGATGAGTTAGGGTTGTTACTTTATTAAGACTATCTCGATGTATTATTATCTGCGCTAGCATATATAATACAGTCTAAGTGTAATGGCGTATCTGCGCGTCTTAGCTTACAATATAATATAGAGAGAACTAATATTTTATCACGTATTTTTTACACTGCAACGTGCAGAAGATATAGTATAGTAAGGGCTCCATTTGCGTCGTTAACGTATGATGTTTTGAGATCGATAATATGGGTACAATTTTCATTATCGTCATATTGTCATAATACTAACATTAATGTTTACAGTAGGATAGAAAATATTCAAAATACTGTCTTTAAATTTAAAATCTTTATTACACTGTAGCTAAGACTCATGAATAATAATAACGAGTGCATACCATCCAAGCTGGAGGCAAAGTTTCATCTTTGAGGGTTTTCATTCCAGTGAATCCAGTAATGAGAATCTAAAGATAGGATGAATTCATTGTTTATTTATATAAAATGATTATGATCGATTTGTTCGTTGATTCATTAAAATACCATAAAACGGATAAAATTTGCATCACAGATCTTATAGAACCGAGCAATTTCAGTTTAGTTGATAACTGCGGTTAAAAGGTTACTATTGCGTAATTTCGCGATACTAGACACTAATACCGTAGGTGAAGTAATGTGATCATAAACTGAAGATCCATCTACTAGTTCACATGGCTTCAAACTCAATGGATCGGTACTAACAGTCAATTAGTAGGAATTGGATATAAATCCAGTATCGGCAAGGTCGGACCGAATCCTGTTCAGATGTTATTATTGATGTCCAATTGAATTTATTTTTTTTATCTTTCCTCTTCCTAGATTACTTTTTCTTTCGAAGTGCACGGCATACAGTACAACATTGGTTATAGTACCGTCCTATATACTAATTTTTGGCTATCGCATGGCTGCTAGAGAACGAGCATTTAATGCGCAGTACTGTACACACAAAAGGGGGAAATGGAGATTACGGTGCCGGGATGACTAATTTTAAGAGGCAATTTTTTCTTCATCATTGCCTTCAGTTCCTTCGGCACTGTACACTATCATAGACTCCTCAAAATGCCTACTTATAGCTATTTTTAGTAGTCTAGAACAGAGTATCTCATCTTGAATACAGTTAGAATGACAGTAAAGTTGAAAACGGTAATACTGTACCGTGCCAGCTAGTTTTTGACCTTTTTTTCCCGTTGGGGAAATAGTACAAAATTAACTGGTAGTAGTTCCCGGATAACATGGTTCGGTCAATGTCGGTCATATATATGAAAAACGATACACTACTATACTGCCCTCGATTCCCATCGCAACTTAGCAGCTTGGTTGATTTTGTAAAGTATGGTATACGGTTTCAGTGATAGCGTATGGTGAAATGAGGGGGGGGGGGGGGAAAGTAGTCAGCCTTTCATTATTTTGTACTGAATAGTCAGCCATTGCCTGTTTGTTCTTCTCTTTCCTTATAAAAAAAAAGTTGCTGGTACGATCATGGACTACTACTACGGTCGATGCACCAGCACTTGTTATTTGCTGTAGAAGTCCACAGCTGGTACACTACTGTCTAGTACAGTATGGCAGAGCGATTGCGGTTGCACCGGGTGTTATAAAGGTAAAAATATGGTAAACAAATAAAGTAATGCAGTTGTCAAGCTTTTGAATATACAAGTACAGTATGTTAATTTGCATGCGAATAGAAAGAAATTGTTAACATATATAGTACAGTACAATGGAATAGTACTGAATAAGTGAATATCTTGATGACAACA